CTTAAAGATTTCAAAGGCGATACTCTAGACTTCGCCCGTACGAGATTTATTTTTACTTCAGAATTAAATATTGATCGAACAAAGACGCACGCTGCATACGCCCCCTTGCAAGCATCCACAAATACATGTAGTTCAGACGTGTCATTGATAAACAAGTATCGAGGCAAAGTAACATCTTTCAAAACATTAAGTTCTTTAAACCAGTTCAAAAATATATTTACATCATTCGGAGACAATTCATCATCCCATGCAATTTTCACTTTCCACAATTTTTGCAACAACAGTTTTGGAAGCAATGTAGTTGGCGTTAATAAACCAATAGGATCAAAAATTGTCTGCACAATTGCCAAAATTGTCCTCTTTGTGATTTTCGTATCACAGGTCAATGTATCTGTGTCTGTGCAGCACCTCAGCGTATCATTATCCAAATTCCAAATTACCCCCAAAACGGAAGTATCCCCTGAATGTTTGTCAACATTTGTACCAGCCACATTGCTTTCAAAACCGCGCAAGTTAAAACATCCATTTGACATGATTAATTTGGAATGTTCAATAAACATAAACTGTTCATCAATACTAAAAACACTAGATAAACAATTATCCACATAAAATGACGATTTCAATTTTTGAGCAACTTCACTATATTGACGTGGACAGTTTTCTAATAGATGCATTATAGATGCGTTCAACAAGTAGGGGCTCGAAGAAACTCCAAACACAACTCTGCAATGCCTATAAATTAATTGCTCCTTCATTGCATGGGAAAAAAAATCTGAGAAAATCTCTATCTTTAGATGCGACGGATAACATTAAAAAAGCCTTTTCAATATCGGCACTAATACCAATCGGATACATTCTAAAACGATCTATAATATCAGGTATTAATTCAATAAGATTTATTCCTTTACACAAACATTCGTTCAAAGAGAGTCTTCCCTTTCTCAGATGCAGAAGCGTCAAAAACAGGACGAATTTTCGTGGTTTCACTTCCTAATTTGATTACAGGCCTATGCGGCAAATAATGACATTCATTATTCAATTCGTTTTCTGGTACGCGTTCAATAATATTCAACCTTTCCCATTCCTTGAACACATTTTGATAATCATCGAAAAATTTACTACATCTGAGTTTATAGATCATCTTTTGATACCTTTTCCAGGATAATTCTTTATTATCGGTTAAATGTGTCGTATCACATTTCCACGGAAGTTCTACTTCATATCTTCCATCTGGAAGAATTTTCATTTTGTTCTCAAATTCAGATAAATTAAAACTTTCATTCATTTTAACAGTTTCGTTTGGAGCGCATATTCCTATTTTTTCAAGTTCCCATAACTCATTCAGAGGAATTCTCCTGACATGCATTGAAAATGTTTTCAAAATATTATCCTTTTCACCCGAATTTCGTTTTCCAAATACCGTCCACCCAAGTTTCGTTTCGACAGCCGTTACCCCGGACTGTAATTCAATAGAATTTCCCGTCAATAATTTTCCTATAACATCTGCTCCGATTAAAAGGTTAATTTCAATTTCCTTTCGCAATGGATCAGAAAATTCGATTTCTTTTTCTTTTAATTCATTCAAAATCTCTTTATCCTTAACCTTAGGAATAAAACCGCAAATCTTTTTTTTCCGATAATGCCTCAAAACTACATGCGAATGTTCCTTTTAAATTGCTGACCTCGACCGAAAACACTTCATGTTGTTTAGGTTTCGTTTCGTCCCCCCCCCAAACAGTGCATGTATAACTGTCTCCTCCCGAAGTGGAGATGCTTTAAGCTGACTCATCATATTTTCACTAACGTAGCTACTTTGGCTTCCGCTATCAATTATGCAGCGAATAATTTTCTCGCGACCTTGACACCGAATTCGAACGCAAAGCGTTTGCAAAAATACAGTTTCGCTTCTGCCACAGTTAGAAAGAGAACTCTCTTTTGAAACATTTATCTGATCATTATTTTTTAGCTTTTGATTACACATTACATCAAAATGATTACAACTTTTGCAAATAGAACAACTTAACTTACCTTTGAAAGGACAAAATTTACTAATGTGACTCGCTCTTTTCAGACAAGAAAAACAAGCACCTTTTTTCAACAACAATTGTTGTTTTTCAGCTAAAGTCATTTTTTTTTTTTTTGCAGAGTAACATTTTTCACTAAAATGTTTCTTTTCACAAAAATTACAGTTCGGAACACTCTTACCTGAATTCTCAAGACTTACTAGAGCTGATGCTGTTACGGGATCATTTTGCTTTACCTGTTCGTGGTTATAAATCTTTCTTTCCGATGGTTCTGTTGGGAAGCGAAACCAGTTCTTGCGAGGAGAACCATCTCTTCCCCCTTAACTTCCTGTTTTAAGAAATTCATTAAATATTTCAAAGATCGATTCCCTTTAGTTTCAATGGAGTCGTGATTTCTGCTTCTTTCCCATGCCATCAGTACTTCTTCTGGTAAGCAACTTTCCACTAAGGGGGTCAAAAAATCCCCATATTTTTCTTGGGTTCTTCCCAAACTTTCCAACGCTCGCAATTTTCCTTCTAGTTCATCATACAGGGAGGGTAGATCCGTTTTTTGCTCTTCCGGTTACAGCGTTCTTCATCACTAGGCTTAACAAGTCTCTCACATAGATTTGCACAAGTAAATCTTCGCGTCCAAAGCGCTCTCTTAGTTGTTCGATGGCTTTAGGATAATTAGCTGCCGTTGCCGGGAAGCTAAGGACTAGGCGTTCTGCTTTCGATTTGGGTTCCATGGCCTGCAATAGATACTGCATTTTATCTTCATCGGCGATACTTTTGTCATCGTGGATTTTCTGGAACTGACTCCAAAAAGTCAGGTAATCTTTAGCTTCACCACTGAATTTTTTAAGCTCAATTTTAGGCAATTTAAATTTCCTAGATTCGGAATTATTTGAAGGAGAAGGAGGCTTGTATTTCCGCATCTATTTGAGCACACTGTTCTAGAAACTTATCTCGATAATTCTCCGCTTCTTGAAAATCATCACTAAATAATTTTTCTCCATCTTCAGTCTGCAGAATTTGCTGCGATATAGCACTCTGGCATACGTCAAGTCTCTGGAATTTATCACAAAGTTGACACTTCAAAATCGAAAGTATTTTCAAATCTCTTACTTCTTTAGTTAATTCACTTTCGGTTTTCCTTGAGGTTTGCGAAAACGCAATTCTAAGTCCTTTTCTTTGAGCCTTTAAAGCGATCAAATCCATCTTCAAAGTATATTCAAAATCGAAATTCAATATCAAAAGTTCAATCGGAAAATTCTAATTCAAAGCACCCGGTCCCGCCGAGGGTACCACTATGTTACGAAGAACACAGAAAATATATAAATCAAATATATTTAAAACAGTTCGTTCAGTTGCGGGCCTGCCTCTACCCGAGGCTGGGTGCATTATGAATAAAGACAAAAAAATTCTTAATAAATCATTCTTTATTTCCATCAAAACAGTATCACTCTTCCGAGCTCAGCTTTCGTTCGTCCACACGCAAAACATTCGAAAACACTCAGCACGCAGGCTGACGTCACAAGCAGCAGCGCCTCGCGCCGGTTATTACTTCAGTTCATTTCACACACTAGTATCGCATTCGTATAACCATACCAATATAATAATATTAAAATAAATTTATCTGATGAAGTTTTCTTATTACAGAAACAAAATTATGCAATTACATAAACGAATACACTTTCGGACAATATACTTAATATTGCTTTCAAGCGCAAGCCAAAGTTCTGTTTTGTTACATCTCGCCCTTCAGCGCATGCTCAAGAATTACCATCCAGGCGAAACTAGTCAATTTGCCCATGACGTCAAAAATTCGAAAAGTGGGGTAGGGTTTGGAAATATGCTGTAGGGTGCTGTCTCTTGTTCAATCAGCTAATTATTATTACATCCTTGTAAATTCAGTCAGCTACAATCTTTTTTAGTTCTCTCTTGTAACAACTAAGAAAGATAATCTGTTCTACATATGTCCCAGGTACCCAGGTGCCAGTACCACTCCCAGAATCGAAATCTATTGAGATCTTGGCATAAATCTATGCCAAACTCAAGTTTTTACAGGACCTGTGTTACTAATTTTAAGTTCACTTGGCGTGTTTCTGTTCTGTTTTCAAATGCTATCAAGGTGAACTGATAGACGTCTAGACTATGGAATACGAAGCACTCAAGTTTTATATATTTTAAATAAATTAAAGTTTCTCTAAGATCTGTTATAACACTTGATAGAACAGACTACTACTTCATGATTAGTTATTTCCGTGCCTATGATTCAATACATGGCGTTCGCATAACAAATGAAAATGAACACCTTTGGTTTCGTAGGCGAAAGCAAATGAACGTTAGGAAACAGAAGGCTCGAGTTAGGCAAGAATTCAAAAAGAAAATAGAAGCTTTCAATAAAAAAATGCTCTCGAAATTTTTTTCTCACTTTTTTATTTACATATCAATATTGGAGGGCCGGAGTAGTAAAAATGTGGAAGGGTTATCTGTGAATTGAAATACGTGTATGAATTTTTCTATTGTCCTAAATATTCTTCTGACATGTATAACATAACATAATAAGTCATAACAATTTATTTCAGGTTTTATTTCACTGTGAATACAAAAAATTGTTTATCCTTTTCCATTTACTCTTTCGAATTTAGATATTTATAAATACGAAACTAACGAATCTGGCAACTTTATTTATAGCATTTTGGATTGTGGGCATCTTGGGTGCAGGCGATAATGGTTAAATATTAATGTAATATTTTCTTTATTGTTTGCCATTGTTCAGTGGTCTGCAGACTGATAGTTTCTAGTTAGAGTTGGCCTTTTTTTATTACGTCACTGCCTGACTTATATTCTCTGGCTCCGTTCTTATTTAATTGCCCTAACTTGTAAAGGTTAGTACATTGTTATGTTTAAAAAAAATGGCGGCAATGCGTACTCTTCGTATGAAATCTATAGAGCTAACGTTATGCAGTTGACTTCTTAAAAAAAAAGATTGCAAATTTTCCTCACATATTTCAATACACTGTATAAAATTTATTTATCATTACTTTTCCATTAAATCTGTGTATTGAAAGTATGTATGATGAATAAAATGCAGTCTGACGCATGCTTTTCCTAAGCCCAAGGCGACAATCTCATATCTAATGAAAGTTGCTGTATTATGGCATTTGTATTAATTAAAAAGGGGGGAGACAATGTTACATTAATGTAGTCATGAACTTTGGGATTAAAACATGAAATTATCAAAGTTGTGTATGAGTAAGCAGTTAATGCATTCCTTCAGTTTTTGGTGCCAGATGACATGGGGCTGGCTAAACTATTGATTTATGAGTTCCCAATTGTTGTATTATTAAATTACTTACGTGAACCGATAGGTAGCAGTTTCAATCACAGTAAAAAAAGTCTACCCACATTGATGGAAGATTTTCCAACCTGGACTCGGAGACTATTATAATCAATATTAAATTTGAAACTTGCATTTTGAGTTAAAGTCGGTTAGTTTTCGCAAAGCATATGGGGGTTAATGTTATTTATCTTGTAAAGAATGTCTTTTTGATAGACTTTTCTTCTGTTATTCACCTGCCATGCATTTTGGCGAATTTTTTAATTGTAAACAGTTTCTAGTTACAAGAATAGTTTATGAACACACACACACAGTCCTTCTCCATTATGCATACACATCCATGCAGTGCTTTTCCGTTATGCACACATATGCCAAAATGCATGGCAGGTTCTTAATGGAAAAGTGCTGAAGTATTAAGTAAATGTCTTCTATTTTCATTACACATTAAGAAAGAAAGTTCACCAACAGCTGAGCCATAAGGTTGCTCCTTAAAAAGTTCAAGGTTTAATCCTACTCACGGGATTTGGCACCTTTATGATGAGCAGTAAACGCGACATATATAATGAGTAATAAACGAGTTATTTTGGTGTTGGCAATAATTTTCAAAATCATGCGATGGCTGCCCGTATACTAGGATTTTACCAAATTCTCTTCAGAGATATCCCTTTCCTCCCTTTCCTTAGGCAGATAATCCTCATTGTGATTTGCCGTAATCAAATAAACCAAGCCATGAAGAAAACCCCCTGCAAGCAGCTTATTCAGTCGCAGAAAGGGAACTGTTGAACATAAGGTGAGTGTGCGAAGATATACTAAGATTGTCTGTGTTTGGTAAAAAGCTACCTAAAGGGGAGAATTAAATGATATATCTCTATAGGGTGATACAGCTAATTATGGTAAGCAGATTAAAGTCCAATTTATTATACCAAATTGGATTGGTTTTGGGCTGTAGTGTAGAATTGGGTGCCCCTTTGATTAGTGACAATTTTTTGTAAAATTTTGGCGATAAAATCTTATTTCTGGTTACCATGATAGTTTAACTTTGCTTTAGCCTCCTGATTTTTTTAAAAATTTAAAATAGATTGATGTGTACATGGACAAATTTAAAGCAGTGTGCAATACCTAGTTTGTGCAATTATGGGATTTTTTTTTTTAAGTGAAAACAAATTGATGTGTACATGGACACAGAGTTTATGCAATTCTTTGACTTCTTATTTTGGTTTTGTGTAGCGGCCATCTTGAAATTTGTTTCTTCCTGGCGCCGATCTTGGCATCAAAAAAGAATCGTCAAAAAACAAGGGGCACCCAATTGTAAACTTTTACCTGTTTTTGTAATAATTATTTTGGGCAGTATTTGAAGGCTGTGTGCTTAGGAAGGTATATTTTGGTAGAGAGATTATCATGTATAGCATACATTGGTGAAAACCTTAGCTGCTAGTTTGTAGTCAGTGGAAATTAAATCTATCTTTTATTTTGTGGCTTTAGCTTCTGGTAATGACAAAGTAAAATGATAAATGATTATTCTAAATCATAAATATTGTATTGATCAGAATAGTGTAAAGGTGATTATGTTTTGAAAATGTTCTGTGAAGGAAAAAAAAAAAGTTTGTATATAACACAACCTTAACCCTTAAGCATTAATACCTCATTATAAATTATGAACCCAATAATTTTTCTGTGATAATTTAAAGACTTTTTGAATTCATAATAAGGTTTTTATAAAGCATATTGTATCGAGTATTTCTCAGCCAATGTAGCTTTCTTTTTGTCTAAACGTTTTATGAATTTTATAATTTTTAGAGAGGAGAAATTTAAGACTAATGTAACATGTGGGCAAATAAAAAGCATATAATTTGGTGAAAATTTTCCAGTGAACATGGAAATGTTCTTGAAAACGGAGCAAATAATTTAAGCTGCATCTGCATCACTGAAAATAATCTTCATGTGTAAATGGGCTGCAAACAATTTTGTAACAGTTTTTTTTTTTTGAATAATTTGCTAATTTGCCTGCTCCCTTTTTTTTTTTTTTTTTTTTTTTTTTTTTGTTTGTGTAGAACAAACAGCAGCTGAAATGTTTTAGTTTTCGCAAACTTTTAAAATTGTAAAAAAGAATGTTGCATAAAACAAATAGGCTCCTCTCTATAACTAAAAGTAATCATTGAAATGATGCTTATTTTGGATTATCAGTATGTTAGGTGCTTTTATTAAAAGCATCAGAATTTTAAAGCAATATAGCATTCAATGTTACGTCAGTTGATCTGTGTTTTTTAATATGAACACATCAATGTTATTTTTTAACCATTTCGAGATGCGTGCCTCAATCACCAAAGCCTCCTCTTGGAACAGCATGCTGACATGATACAGGACATGGGATGGGCCACTTTATGTTGTTAAGCCTAGCTGTGGAAAAAAATAACATAAATTAAATTTGTGTCCATTTGTTCCTATTTTTTTTCACATTATGAGAAGAATTATCAAATAGTTGGCAAAATTAACATGAAATGTGATCTTTACATTTTTCTTGCCATTTGAAGTATAAAAAATATTTTGCTAAATGATATTCAACATATTAGCCTCAATGCTAGCCAAACTCTTAAGAGGAATGGTAAAACATCTAAAACAACAGGATGTATATTCCCTAATGCCAGAAATAAAAAGAAAGTGTTCAGAAGCATGGAGAACATACACGTGTGTTTATATCAGCTAAGGCAATTAATAAACAGCTTTGTTTGTTTACATTATCTAGCCTTGAATTCCAAAACAAAATATCAAATATAAATACTGCAGCAGAATGAACATCAGCATTCTTCACTCTTGGTAAATTTCATATTAATAGAAATAGGTTACATCTAATGGCAAAAAGGATGCTGATTAACCCCTTAACTGCCGCGGGCGTATATATATGCCTTGCTCAGCCGATGCGTTAACTGCCCCAGGCGTATATATACGTCCTTCCAAACTGCTATCATTTGCTTTGCGCTGCTACACCTAAAATTATTTGTAAAGTTAACACATCGGCTGCGCATCTGGGGCAGTTAACGCATCGGCTGAGCAAGGCGTATATATACGCCCGCGGCAGTTAAGGGGTTAAATGTTTTTTTATCTAAAATTTCATATGTGGTATACTCATCCTGACTGTACATTTAAACAGTGATTCATATATTACACACCTGTCTCTGTGATATTGTTAGTGGGGGTTGCATGCTACACCTGTTCTGAAAAGGTTAAGGATAATAATTGTAGTATATTAGTAAGTAAATTTATTGAAATTTTGATGGGATTAAAAAAAGGAAACTAATTTCTGGTTTAAGTGACCAATATATAAGTTTGACAGTAGTTGTAATTTTCATTTTGCAGATTAATTACGTTTGCCAGTTTTCAGCGACTTAGCATGGAGGCTAAAAAAACATGATACCATAATTAAAAAAATCGGTTTAAAAAGTGTTGTTTGCCTCTTTTGAATTTGAGTTAAATATGCTAAATTATAGTTTGTATTGTTTATTCTAGTCATACTGTAATGTATGTTTTCATCTAATAATTGTATTTATTTTATAGAGCTATAGATATGAATCCTAATAGTAATATTCTGCAAAGACAAATGACTGGAAATATCCTGCCTCCTCAGAGTATGAATACAAATTCAGGTAATTATGTATATTTTTGATAAAGTATTTGTATGTAATTAACACTTGAATTGAGTATTTGATGTAAATTTAATCAGATTTTATGGATTATCTGGAATTGGGATTATTAAAGCCAAAAATGAGAATAATTTGCCAGTGAACATTTTACTTCTTTTTTGCAAACGTGTCTTCTTCAGTCAGCTTTGCCATGTAGGATTTCTTTTCCATGTAGGATTCTAGCATGTATATTTTTCTTATTGGTCTTACATTTCCAAGTATCAGCTGCCTGTAGAATTACAAAATACTGCTAAAAAAGTAACAATTTTTTGAAACAGTATTGCAACTATAAACTAAGCAGTATCCACGCGAAAGCTTAAAAGAAAATAATAAAACAGTTATTACTGGTTACTCCATTGGTTCCATATTTGTTTGCATTATAAACTTTTAAATTTAAGGCAGTGGCAGTTTAGTTTCTTAACATCTTGAGGACCAGCATGTGAAGAACGAAGCACAGTTACAGGACCAAACCCCCTGAAATGGAATGTTGCCACCCGCCCCTGCATTTTACATAGTTAAGCCTAATTTTACAAAAAAAAAAAAAAAAAAAAAATTCATATAAATTCAACATCTTGATATAATGACCTCAATTTTTGAAGTTATATATTTAATATACTAATTCTTAATATGTACTAATATGAAAGATATCGCAGTAATAGAAATAAATTAAACATGCAAAATACTAAAATTATAACTGCAGTACAGTCTAATCCTGACGTCCATAATCCGGAATGATCTATAATACGGACCTCAAAGCTACAAACTTTCTGCGCATGTGCATAATACGCTTACACATGCAAGTTTACCGTATAATGGATGGTATAGCTAGGCTAAAATTATCTAATTATCTATTTCAGTTAATGTTGCAGATGTTCCTTAATCTTCTAATTGCATCCGGCTTATTATTTTTTGCAGACTGTTAGAGCAGTTTTATAAAAAGTATGCTTGAACTTTTGATTATGTCAAAAAGAGTTTCCGATTCTGGAGCTGCCAAAGGATCTACAAAGCGAAAGCATGTTTCGATGTACCGCTTCTGATAGTGAAGAAAGTGACAGAGAGGTTATTGAAAACGAAAAAATTTCGATTGACGAGTTAGTCGGTATTCTCGACACAGCAGTTACAGGACTTGAACAGTGGAACTGAACAAGAAATTATGTCTGTTTATAAAATTAAAGAGAAAATATTAGCACAAAAAATGAAGCAACTTAAACAACTTACATTGAAAGAAATGTTTAATAAAGTAAACAAATAAATATTAAGCTGCTTTTTGTAAATTTTTGATACCCTTTAGGTCATAATTGCTCTTTATTTGATAAATTACAGTTTCATATTTTTAATTTTATAATTTCTGCATGTCATCTTACCAGATTTAAATTGATGATCTAAAATCCGGAAAAACCCTTAATCCGGAATAGCCAAAGTCCCGACGAGTCTGGATTAAAGACTTTGTACTTTATACTCATGAAAAAACACTGTACACATAAAACTAAATAACAAATACGAAATTTAAAAGAAAATCCAGCAATAATTATCAGTAGGTAATTAAATTCCAATTTAAAAATTCTGCTGTGCATGGAAGAATTCAAAATGAAGATCCACACACCGGACAAGACAGCTTTTTTCTGAGAAATATTGAGCGAGTAAGATGTCTCGTGCATCGGGAAAGCTAATGTCTTTCCCTTTTTTGGGAATAATGCAGTTAACCAAAAAAGCCTGTGTTAAGTTTTCAAATAAATATAAAAAAGACAACTGGTCTAAGTTTTTCCATCAGAGAAGTTTGGCAACATTATACCTGCGATATTCAGCTAGATGTGACGAACTGGATGGGGGTGATCAGAGTTCAACAATAGCAACATTTATTAAGTGATGAATCTTCTTTTTTTTTCATTATAAAATTATTTTTATTACATTTCACTGAAGTAAATTATCATGCAGTTGGAAGCTTTTAGAAGAGATTAACTTGATTTTTTTTTAAATATAGGGAATGATAGTAAAAGAAGCTTTGTGCTAGCAGCACTGTTTTTTTGAGAAAATCATCCAAAGTTTGATTCCTTATTATCATTGGCAAAGTTTAAACTTAAGAAGCATTGTTTACTAGTCTGATGTTTAAACGATCGAACTAAAAGTGTTATTTAAGTCTGAAGGCAAATTGATGATCTTAATTTGTGTGTTTTAACATGTTGCTGCAACGCTGTCTATCCTTGGTCTTTTAACATGATATATAGTGGCTACAAACTTGTGAAAATGGGTTTGAAGTTCTATGAATAGCAATCGGGTGCTCCATTATATTAACAGAAATCTGCAAAGCCCTTAATGAGGCTAGAAACTAGGATTGATAGTGCATCTCTTGTCATCATTGTGTTGCCTACAATTAGCTAGGTGATGCAATTGGTGTGAGTGAAAAAAGCGGTTAGAGTAGACTGAAGGGTACCGCTTGTATTATCGTGAAATTGTTGTTTCATTTATCGCCAAGTTGTTTTTGTTTATCGCCAATTTGTTCTTTCATTTATAGTAACCTGAGTAGTAGAATGTTCCGTAAATATACTTTTACCTAAGTTAGATGCTCCTTTGACTTTTTAAGTTAAAATATATTGATGTGTACATAGACAAAATCAAGGGAGTGTGCAATGCCAAGTTTGTGTGCAATTCTCTGATTTTTTTTAAATTGAAAATAGGTCAGTGTGTACATGGATATCGAGTTTGTGCAATTCCTTGACTTGTTATTTTGGCTTACAAAGCCAAAATAACAAGTCAAAGAATTGCATAAACTCGGTTTTCATGTGCTGCCAAAAATCGCCAAATTTTTGCCAAAGGGTACCCGTAAATATACTTTTATTAAAGAAGCTTTGCAGAGGTGATGTCGTGGTATCACTTTTGCAAAGCTCCTTTCGCTCATATTAGTTTATTACATACACTATTTGCAGAGGCGACATTGTTTGTGTGAATGAAAGTGTGTGCATGCTACCATTTGCATGAGTAAAAACATACGAGTGGTATTATTTATGTAAGTAAAAGAAACTTTACAGAAGCAATGCTGTTTGCTCTCTCTGCAAAGCTTTTTTTTACTATCACACTGAGATTGACCATTGTTTCCTTTTATTTAATTTTGTGGTATTTAGCACATTTTGATGAAAATATATTTCAGGGTCATCCTTGGCAAAAATCGGCTTTTTTTGGGGGGGGGGCATTCGTGTTAATGTGCAGTGCTTTCCAAAGTAAAATGGTGTCCAAAACATAATTAAAACATAAAAAAACTACAATCTTGATAAACTGCATTTTAAATCAAAATAAAATAAGGAAATAACATAAAAATGGAAATACATGTTATCTAATCTGCACTGTACAAAAAGGAAGTATGGATTTACCTTATTTAGAAATTTCTCTGTCTTTAGTGTGTGGCACACATAATTCCTTAACAACATTTAAAAGCTGTTTAAAATTATCTAAACTAGAATCTGCATACCAGTGTTGCCACATAAATTCTCAAACATAAGAATGAAAACGTCCTCCGTGGACTGTCGGTGGCATTTCTTTCGAAAATACCTTTTTATTACACTCCACATACCTTCGATAGTGTTGATATGAGCTTCAGTCTCCGGATCCTTAAATGTCATTGAGTGATTTACTGAGAGGTGAATGAAGCTATTATCAGAAAGACAATAGTAAGACTTTCTGCAAACGGATATGATCGTTGTTCCTTGTAAGATCATTGTTCCTTTGAATTACATCTAGTTTCTTTTTATTCTATACCACCAAACACCCAGTTACAGTTAGTTTTACAGTGTAAAGCACTAAATAATCATCGTTCTTCATGACATTCAATGCAGAAATAAGCCCCGAGAAATGTTCTTCTCAATCAAAATCGGTGCCATCGCACATTACAACCAACTGCGTCATGATAGGGTTTCCAGAACATACAACATAAAATACTGAGGTTACCATAAATTAAACAACAACTAGGCCAGTCCAAGAGGTACCCCAAAGTATACAATCCCACATTTTTAATCTAAACTGTGTACTTAAAAAATATCACTTACTCATGGCCTTTTGAGGAACATTAGGCTTTCTGACTCAAACACTTTGCTTAGATGGTTAATAATGTATTTAATAAGTGTTTAGTAATTAATAATGTAGAACAAAGAAAAAATGAATTTGAAATTTATATTCAAATTTTTTATTAGTAAATAATACAGCTTGAATAGTATTGTTTTCTTACAATTGAAGGCAGTGGCTTAATGGTTGGCGTTAGTATGAATCAAGGTGGAGTGCCCACATCTTTACTATCAAATTCTGGGCACAAACTGGAAGCTCTCGGTGACCATCAACTGAACTCACAGGGAAATATGTCTCCTAGTCCACCCCATCAAGGCCAACCACCTGTGACTACTGTCGGAGGGACTGCCCCCAGCAGCACAGCCCCCTCTGCTGGTGGGTGCATTATTCAGTCCACCGTAACCATGGCAAACATGAAAGAGAAAACACCAATGTGCTTAATCAATGAATTAGCACGTTTTAACAAGGTACTTCTATATTTTTTTGGTAATAATTTGAGTGCCTTATAAGTGTTTGATATTTCTCTTTTTGTTTTTATATACAGTCAAAAGTCTTTAATCCTGACGGCCATAATCCGGACCCTTTACGCATGCGCATTTAATGTATGGTATAAGCTAAGCTAATTTTCTATTTCAGTTAATGTTGCAGATTGCGTTGTTCCTTAATCTTCTAATTGGATCTGGCTTATTATTTTTTGCAGACTGTTAGAGCAATTTTATAAAAGTAAGCTTGAACTTTCGATTATGTCAAAAAGAATTTTCGATTCTCGAGCTTCCAAAGGATCTACAAAACGAAAGCATGTTTTCAATGTCCATCAAACAAAAAGTGGAATTGCTGCAAAAAATGGATAAAGGCATATCCTTTGTTTCTCTAACCGTTCCGAAATCTGTTTATCAATTTAACGCTGCTCTGTGTGTGTGTGGGGGGGGGAGGGGAACATTGCGGCATGCAATGAACTGGAAGTTGATCTGTCAGCACTATACTTATCTTCAGGGCAGATGTTTTTATTTTATTCGGCTTATAATTCCTTACTAAATGTAGTCTTTCATCTCGATGTACTCCATCTTTGATACGATTTAAATCAAATTCCTCATCATTATAAATATTACGAATACACATCAAATAGATTTCTGGTTGCAATTTTCTAATTTTGACTATGCGTAATGTATGCTTTATGCATGCGCGCATTGAAAGAAATGTTTAATAAAGTAAACAAATAAATATTAAGCTTTTTTTTTTTTTGCAAATTTTGATACCCTTAGATCATAATTGCTCTTTATTTTATAAATTACGGTTTCATATTTTTAATTTTAATTTCTTCTGCATGCCATCTTACCAGATTTAAACTGATGATCTGTAATCCGGAAAAACCGATAATCCGGAATCGGCGAAGTCCCGACAAGTCCGGATTAAAGACTTTTGACTGTATTTTGTAATTTTACTGAAATTGGATATAACACATATTTATTACTTTAAAATGGCTTAGGCTTTATTTGCCATACGGTTAATTTTTTGACAATTTATGCTTTGATTTGATGACTGCTTGCAAATAAAATTTGATTTTACAAATGCCAAACATTAGCGTTTAAGCCATTAGTTCACGGGGTGTCCAGTACTTTTTAACAGTGTCTTCATACCAAGAAAGTGCAATATATTTATTTAAATGTTCAAAATGCAAATAAAATAATTAGCCATAAGTATAAGAATAGTAGTTTAAAAAGTTCATTTATTATTGTTTTTTTTTTTTTTTAATTTTTTTTTAAAAATTAAATTAAAAGTCAAGTAAGGTGGTGAAATGAATATGTTGAGTAAGCAGCAAGTTAAAGGCCAATTTACAACTTGTGAAAAAAAGGGGGGGCCTTTCACATTTTATATTAGGCCCAAAGGGGCATTTTTTAAATGTTTTGTGTGTTACTTTTATTTATTAAATATCATGTTCTTTGCACTTAAACCATAAAATTCAATTCAGTAGCAATATCACAAAATATTTAAAAGAGCATAACTTCATATTTCTGTTATACAGTCTCACACGCTGGAGATAATAATGCTTTTTTTTTTTTTTTTTTTTACTTCCTGGTACGAAGTAAAGGAAGTATTGTAATAACGACAAATACCAGCTACCATACTTCAATGAAAATATCCATTTTGACTGCTATCGAATGCAATTTAACGATCCTTTTGTGCAACATCTGTACGTATAGATAGAAATAAGGACTTCCCAGTGGATTCAGGAGCAATTTCTTCCGGGCGTCTGGACGTATGTACATACACATGTACCTGTATGTATGTATCTCGCATAACTCAAAAATGAGTAGCCTCAGAGAGTTGAAATTTTGTATATAGGGCAGCTATAGGATGTAGTTGTTATCTTCTGGTTAAAGTTTTTATGTCTTTAGTTAACCTGCGTGCAGTATTTGTAGAATTATCAATTAAAAAGTTGTTTAACCCTTTAAGGTTTGGTGCATAAAATTTTTTTTTTCTTTGGAAAAAAATAACTAGCTTGTAATACAATGTTATTTCATGGAGAAAAAACCTGGTAAACCTTTAATGTAATTTATGACATACTGCTTATCCGACCGCTCACCTAGAGCAGTGAAATGGCATCTTTGCCACTGCGTAAATTCTCCTAACATGCTTATCTAAAGTGCTAGTTTTAGCAGCCAAATGAAAATGCAAAGTATAAAAAACGTTTTTGAAAATTATCTAGAAAATATTGAACATATTTGCAAAACAAAAAATATTTAAAAATAATTACGTAATTAAAAAAAAATCTCTCTCTGTACAACTTTTAAAATATTTTTTAATGATTTCATAATAGATTTGAAACAGAGAAGATTTTTTCTCCAGTATTTTATTTGCTGCAGGTTTGAAAAGGAAGATATTTAGAAGGCCGACATGTCACCTCTGTTTCCTCTGCTTAGGATATTTTTCTATGGTGAATCACACTTACATATCCATTTAGTATTCAATGACATTTCATGATACAGAGTTATATTTTCATTTCTTTTGGAAAAATACTAAATATTTTTCAAGTTTTAACATTATTGCAATTTATTAAAAAATATAAATTTGCATTATCAACATATAAACGAACATGATACTTGAATTAAAAAATATTTGGACGTTGCTGCCATCCAGTAGCAGCAGTTCCTACATGCGCGGTGGGACGTATTTGGTACCACATTTTAATTTCAACCATTCTTAATTAATGTATATGAATTCAAATAATTTTTTTAGAAAAGGAAACTTTCACATAAAAATATTCATTCTAACAGCAAAAGTTGTTGTTCAGACGATTTAAATTGCATTAGGAATAAATAAAAAAAAACTGCTTCAAAATTAGACCCTTAAAGAATTTTTATTTTACATTTTTTCCATGAATGAATACTAGTGCTCCCATCTGTTATACATTTAGAGAACTAAAAGGCATAAATGTATGTATTTTAAACGGAAATTTGCAGATTTTGTCTGGGAGATACCCACCGCCCGTCAAAAGGTTAAGTGCAGCTAAGCCTAATTCTTTTTACCATAGCAGCCATATTTGTGTACATTTGAAACTTAGCAGTGTAGTGAATTAATTCTTTCTGCACCTTCAGTGTCTTTTTTTCAGAGTTGGACCAAAAGGAAACTTTTAGTTTTGTGGTTTTGTGCACCGAAAAATCTGCCTTCTTGCCTGCTGGCTGAATGGCTTGTTTTTGCATAGAAATTGTAATTTTAATTTTAAATATATATATATATATATATTGTGAGAATAGTGGATTTGTTGCGTCTATAAAAAAACCGCTTTGCAACAACAGCTGTTTCTTTGTCCAATTTCTTTTATACATCATTTTAGATTTATTATAGTTTTTGAATAGAACATGTGGCAATGATTAGATAATTTTTCAGATATAATAGATTTAATTCAATAAATTTAATTGAAATGCAGGAAAAATGCGTATAATTTAATATTCCGTACAAGGAAGTCATATGTACGTCAAATTTTTTGCCATACAGCTTTGCCATTGTTCGCTTTGAAATCGGCGAGTTTCTTAATAAAAAACTCATAAATGTTTTATAAAATATGAAATAGATATTAAAGCAAATTCCAGATTTGGGCTTCCAGATGCCCATATTCGGGTGGAGGCAAATTCGAAATTTAATGGCTTTAGGTACCGTTGTTTTATCACAATGCTAGAAACATACATAAATTTATGCAGATTCTTCATTATTTAATTTTTTTTAAATTTCTCACCAAACCTTACAAAATTTAATATTTCACCATAATTTGAGTTGTAAAATCGAAATATGAAAAAAATTGGTGTTCTGTTTCAGAAAAAGTTATTTTGTGTAAAAATACATATGTTAGAACAGTGCTGTATATAAATGTAATATATATTGGAAGTCACACTTACGAGATGGGAAAAACGCAAGTTAAATTTCAGCAATTGCTCCAGTAGAAGGGTGATATAGAACAGTCCCTTTTTTTTTGGCAAGGTGTTCATGTATAAGTAGAAAATTGAAGGTGAAAATTCAAGGTGCACTTCTTGAAATAAAAGCTATTAAGCATTTTCAAATTTAATAAATTAAGTCATAAGATAACCAAATAAAATGTTTAAAATTAGATGTTTTAATGTATTCATATTAATTAATTTTCAAAATAGGGAAGTGTTTAATCTTTGTTTAAAAATTTCAGCTGTAGTTTTTGCTGTTTAGTGCAAAGAAAATGCCGAATTCTCCCCTTTTATAGATTGAGGCGCATGTTTTTAAAATTGTATGTTTTATAAATTGCTTCTGAAATATAATGCAAAGTAAAATTTGCTTAGCATTGTTATATAAAAAATTTATCGATTGATGTATGGAAAATTTCGTTACTGTTCTATTCTTTTTTAAATACTTTGTCATTATTTATAACAATATATTGTATATGTTACTCTGCAGTGTATGAAAAGGAAGCACTAGATGAAAAAAATAATCCATAGATTATCTGATGGTTTAGCATATAAGTGTTAACTCTACCAGTTGTACAAGGAGACTCCTGGTTTTTATTTTTTAGCCTTTGCTGAAGAAAATGTTTCCCAGCAATAAATTAAATTTAATGAATTATCAAAACTTTAATTGTGTAAATTCAATTCCCATATCCTTACTGATTATCAGCATTATTTTCAGTGTTAAATTTTATGTTATCTGAATTTTCTTCTACTGTAGACATTTGCAAAACGTTTTGTGAAGATTCAGTCAAGCAAAATTAGATATAATCAGTTAATTTTTTATTTAATTTTTTGCATCAATAAATGGTACATAATGTGTTTGTCCATGCAATAGTAAATGCATTAATTATTAATTTATTTTTATTATATTTTAGTGTATTAATACATTTCTTAGTAAAGATTTTCTGAATGTAAAAATGTAAGATATTTACAAAATTAAATTATCCAAAGAGCATGAAATTTAGAATATCTAATTTGAATCGTAATATCTTTTATGTCAGAATCATATTAGAATAAAAAGTTCAGTTACCTGATTTGTGTATTATAAAGTAACTTATAAGTGGGATTATTTTGAAATGGCTCAGTTGTGCAGCTCAGTAACTTCTCAGAAACTCTTGGTTTGAGGAACTTCCCAGTTTTCTCTATTGCAAGATTGGCAGCTGTATTTCTAGGCAAAGTATGAATTTTTTAAAGTTTTTATATATTTTACATGGATATAAAAGAAATGTGTATATTATAAATAATGCATTTCTTGTTAATAACTTGCTATCAAGAACTTAGTTTTGAAATCTGTTAAATATTACATCAAAGAATACTTGATATTCTAATATAGTGTGTAGCAAAAGATATAGTGCAGCAAAATTTCTACATAGGCCATTACTTGCAAAAGGTTATTACTTTGTAAAATACTTACTTCATGATGGTGCTGGGGAATTTTTTTTTTTTTTTTTTAAATTTGTGATGAGGTACTTGTTTTAATCAAAGCGTGTGCAGTTGTATTTTATTTAATATCTTTGTAATATTTACTTCATATACTGCTGTTTGCATTTAGAAATTCAAATATCAGAATTTCATTGCATTTGTAAAAGAAGCAAGGAGAAAAAGCATTGTCTTAATATTTTCCCATTAAATATTTGCTGACCTGTTAATTTTACAGTTTTTTCCCTTTCTTTTCTCATGTCTTTTTTTTTTTCTTTAAAAAAAAAAAAAAAAAAGACATTGAAATTTATCTTACTGGTATTGTCTCGAAGACTATAAGTTTGTAAAACCTAAGTTTAAACATAAGTAAATTTTTAAAACTTATATATGATTTTTCTTATTTGAATTTAAGGTCCAGCATCAGTATCGACTTGTGGATGAATCAGGCCCACCTCATAAGAAAACTTTCACCGTCGTGCTGAAACTGGATAATGAAGAGTATACTGCTTCTGGACCAAGTATCAAGAAAGCGCAGCACGCTGCTGCTGCTATTGCCCTTGAACAAACCTCACTTAAGCATCCTCCACCTAAAAGTCAAAGGAAAGCAATGGGGCCAATAACACCAACGGTTGAATTAAATGCTTTAGCTATGAAAAGAGGAGAACCTGCAGTTTATCAATTAATAGAACCTCAAAGACCTCAATACATACCAAATTTAAATTTTCGTGGCATGTATCATCAAAGATACCATTATCCTAAAGTGCCCACATATTATGTGTCATTAAAAGTAGGCACTAGACAATTTTTTGGAGAGGGTCGTACTGCACAGGCTGCTCGACATGCTGCTGCAGAAGAAGCTCTGTCTATCCTTCGTAATCTTCCTTATCCAGAAAATGTAAAAAGGCAGTCAGAATTGCCCCTTTCTAAACCTAACGGAGAGAGCCCTGAAGATGATGGAGATGAGAGTGATGACTTGAAATCTCCAATCAGTTTAGTTCATGAAATTGCATTAAAAAGAAGTCTTGCTGTGAATTTTGAGGTAACTAGGGAGAGTGGCCCTCCTCACATGCGTACATTTGTTACTCGTTGCACAGTTGGAGACATTAGCACAGATGGTGAAGGAAATGGTAAAAAAGTGTCCAAAAAACGTGCAGCTGAAAAGATGTTAGAAGAATTAAAAAAGCTTCCATCTCTACCTCCAGCTCAACAAAAGGTGAAGAAAAAACCAATCATTAAGAAAAAGAACAGAAATCTTATTAAGGTGCAGTATAAATCTTTTATAACATTCCCCCACCCCTTTTTAAGCTGCATTTTAAATTCTGTAGTAACAATTAATTTTTAACAACTTTTAGTTATATATGTAATATTTATCTAAATTTTCCTCAGAATATGATAAAAGTGCATACATAGTATTACATATACTTAAAAGTGATTATGTAAAAATAATTGTTTATGGCAGATCTTAAATTACAATAGATATTTCCCATTTAATATTCTAGCATCCAGTAGATTGTCTTCACATATGTATTGTATCTTTTGCATATTGTAACTATCAAAATATTAGTGTACACATCATTGGGTTAATATTTTATGATACACTTGCATACTGGGTATGTATAATGTAATGCCTACAGTAGCACAAACTATAGATTAATATACAGTTTGACGATTTCAGTGTCCTGCAAATATGCTTTTGTCTTTTAATCATATTATTTTGTTCAATAAAAAGATTGTGTCTTGAGAAAATTGGAATACAATATTGGTTCATTAAGTTTTGCAACATCAGATTCTTTTAAAAAAATTCTTGGGAGTGTTCTGTGATTTGTGTAGTTTTATTGCATTGCAATCTAATGGTGTAGCTGTTTTTTACTTCCTTGTACAAAGTTAAAAGGAAGTATTGTAATCGCGAAAAGTTTCAGGCAGCATATTTCAACGAAAATATCCATTTTGACCGCTATCGAATGCAATTTAACGATGTTTTTGTGCGATATCTGTACGTAAGAACAGAATAAAAGACTTGTTTCCCCTCCTCCAAAATATAAAAAACTGCTTTAAAATTAATTCTGAAGAGATTTTTTGTGGCGTCTGTACGAACTTTTATCTCGCATAACTCAAAAACAGTAGCCTCAGAACGTTGAAATTTTCTATATAGGACTGCTATAACATGTAGATTGCACCTCGTTTTTGGTTGCAATCGGCCGCACCAAACGTATATAAATCTATTTATATCTTATCCACTCTGTTACCCAGCTCAGTAACCTCAGTTTCTTTACACTTATATGTTTGTAAATTGTACATTTTTTTGCTTTAAAAATGATTGAATTATGTTGTTTTTTATCTTCCGGTTAAGGTTTTTATGCCTTTAGTAAATCTGTATGCAATTTTTTAGAATTACAGCAATTTTAAAGTTGTTTAAGTGCCGCTAAGCCTTTATTTTCATGGCGGCCATTGATTGTTTACATTTGAAACAGCAACTAGTGAATTGTTTGCCAATCTAGAGAAACTTAGCTTGCAAGACAAAATAACGCCTTCATTATTATTGTCATTAATCATGCTTAATCCTTTCTGGAATTTTTCGAAGAAATATGTTTTAAAATTCTTCGTCATTTTTAATGTAGATTTTGAGTTTTTATGTAATTTTTGCCTTCTCGCGAAGTGAGAACTGAATTAATTGAATGAGAAATACTTAATCGTCTGTGAAAAACTGTTTCTTTTTTTCATTTTGTTTGCTTAATTTCTTTTATACTCATTCTAAGCTTTATTAGATTGATAGAACATTTGGCAACGATTAGATAATTCTTTTCTTTAATGATATAATTTGTGCATTATGAGTTATAATATGAACGAAATATACTGTTAAGTGAATCTAAGCGCCAGAATGTCCTATGGAAACACCATGGTCGACTCTATCGGGCCTTGAAGCGAAATCAGTTTCGAAAGGTCACGTGATCAAAATAGTCGATCTTTTCTCTTCACTATAATCGCTAAAATAAACTTGTCAAAATAGTATTTTTCTCTTAAAAATAAATTTAAGTAAATTAAATAAACGGAGTAGGTTTGCAGCTTGCATTAATTTTTCAATGTACTTTTCACAGGTGGTAAAATGCATATCTTCAATCATTTTAAAACAATTATACTTTGTTTTAACTAAAATATCATTGAGAATCATCACATACTAACTTATTTCTGCAATTTTAATAAAAAGGAATCCATTTATGTAATCTAAATCAATTTGTTCCAAATATATAATTACAAACGGAAAAAATTCAATAGCTTTATGGATGTAAATTTTGGTATATTCGGTTGAGGGTACAATCGCCAAACTATTGTTGATGCGTGCTGCAAAAATATTCCGGCCCCTAACGCAAGAAAGGAAATATAGTAAATAACTATCTGAGATAATGTTTTAAATTTAGATGAAGGTCAATTTCTATAATACTTTCTTATTATTATAATTTATATAAAAAAAAAGGCTAAACATGACGAATGGTGCAAAAGAGTAAATAACTATTCAGATCATATTTTAATTTATATAAAAATTGCTAACATAACTGAATGGATGCCTGCATCGCTATTATTTCGCTACCGAGTTACGCTAAAGAATACTTTCATCTCGTGGTGTTCAAACATATTTTCTATAATGAATGATGCCTTTCTTTGAAAAAATTCTTGGTAAATAAATCGCTCACTTTTTGTTTTTCTTTTTACAAGGGTAAAACAATTGGATTTTGCAATTTTTTTACTTTTAAGTGAAATAAGCGATGTGTACATAGATAAAGTCAAGGGTGTGCACAGTGCCATTTTTTGGCAATTCTGGGATTTGTTTTAAGTGAAAATAGGTCAATGGTACATGGATCCGATTATGTGCAATTCTTAAAAGCGGCGTCAAGCGTGGGTGATTCTGCACTTTACCCAAAATTTTTTGCCGACGTTTCATCATGGGCAATTCCCAAATTAAATCCACCGGATATCAAAAAATGATTTAAAATCTAAAAAGGATTTAAAAATTAAACTAGTTATGGCGTCTTAAAAATATAGAACTATATAAACTTACGAATCTGAATCAGCGTGTACGCTAGTTTGGCGTTGTTAATGGACGCGTTTGCTAGATTTGACGCTTTTACGCATGCATTTTCGCTGCAAATTTTAACGGCTTCGCAACCGATAGTACCTAAAATTTATTTAGATTCTTATACTAAATAAATCTTAAGGGGCAGAATATTTGTAAAAACCATGCGCTACCATTGCATTCATGTATAAATTTTAGAAGCATTCCATGTCCTCTCTCATCATTCATTCGCTAATAAACGCGGAAATGAATTAAAAATTTCTAGAATTTCTAGAATGCTAAAAATTTGTATAAACTCCTGCAGTTATGCTATAAAAAATCTTTCAAGAAAATTTCGAAAATTAAATGCTAATACATTCATAAAAAGGACATCCTTCTATTGTGCCAGCTCCATTTCATGTTGTATCACTTTCCAAACCACCTAAGGTAGTGATTAGGCTCGTTATTATTATTTTATTATTATTTATTATTTGTGCCCCCATTCAGCCTAACCACTATCAAAAAGATTCATAAAATTTGAAGCTGTACCATATACAGCATCTCACCTTCATATTTATGCAGAAGCATAATAAAAACAACAGTTGGACTTATTAACTGAAATTATTGGTAAAATTTTTCTTTTTTATATGAATTTTATATTATTGTATTTATATTTGTATAATTACTTTATTGGCAATTTGATGATGAAATTAAATATTGCATTAAACGAGCTTCTTTTCAATTTCTAAATTTCAGTGATTCATAAAATTCTTTATCCAATTAAGGTTTAATTACTTAATCTCACGGAATTTTCCTTACCATTTGGCTTCTTTTAGGTGATTTAGTTAAGAGTAATAGTGATTCTCGTTTTTGTCGTAATGGATTTGCACTAAATACCTGCGGAGGCATTCTGTATGCAAATGTTATTAGAAAGACATAATAAAATACAGAATCCTATATAGTATACCAACAATTTTCAATTAATACTACTCAAAGTTAATACTAGAGTAATGTTTCGATGCTAAACAAACACTGGATAGCTTGAGAAAGCTACAAATTTCCCAACCGTCTAAAATTAAGATATAAACCGAATATAGATAAAATATTATTTATCCTTGCCTAAAGCTTAATTTATTAAATCACTGGTAAAATCCTAGTATACGGTGCAGCTTTGGCGCGACTTGAACCTTATCGCCCACAAATATCCAAGAACGTTATATATATACTATACATGTAATTACTATATGCATAGTATATACTATGTTTAACTGTATATTTTCTTTTTATGACCCGTTACTCTCTCGTATGTCCCTTTTTGCTCATCATAAAGTCGCCAAAAGAGCCGAATCCGTGTGCACCGGATACTGGATTACCCTCACTTAGAATAGCAAAATAATCCATTTCATAACCTACTGGGCATTCATTTTCCAAAAATGACGACCACGGATTCTCAATCATCTATATACCACAACAACACATCGCCATCTGATCACGTGATTTTTGCTTCGGCCATTATAGTTTGGCTTTAGGTAAACCCTACCGTGAATTTTAAGAAGATTATCTTTGGGCTTATGTGGTGTCGGCGAGTAATTAATTCATCCATAAGTTACTGAATGCAAGAAAAAATGCGTATAACTTAATATTCCATACAAGGAAGTCATGTGGTGTACACATCAGATTTTTTTTTCCTGTGAGATAGAATAAATTTGGTATTGGTTAGCACTTTTAGCATATCTTTGCTTTTAATATGGACTGTACATGTAATTATTTCAATTTCGAAGGGCAGCAAGTTAAAATGTAAAAGAATTTTTATTGCTTTTTAATGGACAGTCTGGTAATATAACAAGTAGTATAAATTTCTAATAGTTTTTGTCATCTTCAAAACTGAGTAGTAGTAGTTTGAATAGTACTTCATAACTGAAAATATGCGATTCATATTTGTGAATTTCAAAGAAAGTATTAAATTCACTTATAAAATTAACACTAAACGTATTTAAAATTTGCATTGGCCTATTTCTGATCTTGACAACAGAAAAGTATCGATTTTTTTTTTTTTTTTTTGCTTGTAAAATTTCCGATGTTTTTTAAGATCATGAAAAGAAAGTTCTGTGAGCCATAAGGCTAGCAAGAAAAAGGATTTTTGGCAATTCATCAATTTGCCAATGAGTTAAAGACGCTTTATGATATGCAGAAATGTTGAAATGGGTAAGGTAAATTTTTATTTTTTAAGGTAAATTTTTATTTTTTAAAGAAGAGTAAAAATAATAATAGTATTTAGGAAAATAATGACAAAGAGTTACTGTCAAAACATTCAGCAAAACGAAGTATACAAGTAAATGTTTAGTCTGTACTAATTATATATGAGTGATGTAATTATGTTTAAGAAATACAGTTAACTCATATGAAACTTGAAACTTATTTTGTTATATGTGTAATTATTGTGGTTTGGATAGTTACATAATTTGATAAAATATGTATCAGTGGTTTTTATTGAGATAATTAAGCAGTTATTTGTCGTAGGAGCAGAATTCAGATCGACAGTATGAGCAAGGCTTATGTTTAAGAAATACAGTTGACTCGTATGAAACTTGAAACTTATTTTGTTATATGTGTAATTATTGTGGTTTAAATTATTACATAATTTGATAAAATATGTATCAGGGATTTTTATTGAGATAATTAAGCAGTTATTTGTCGTAGGAGCAGAAGGCAGATCCACAGTATGGGCAAGGCATCAATCCAATTAGTCGACTTATTCAAATACAGCAAGCCAAAAAAGAACGCGAACCTGTGTACACTGTCATTGAAGAACGAGGTGAACCAAGGCAGCGAGAATTTATTATGCAGGTAAGTTAGTATTAAAGAGGCAAAACTGATTACTTTCTTCCTTTGTTCTTTCTGTCTTCTTTTTTCTTTTTGATTTTCAAGTGAAAAAATGTTAAAAAAAATGTTGGGTATGCTTTTAATTATGTTTTAATATATGCCAGTTAGATGGTTCCCAGACAAAAGCCCACTGGACGAAAGCGCACAGCGCACGCTACAAAAGCCCACCAAAAAAAAAAAAAAAAAAAAAGCCCACTATGATAATTACCTATACGACAAATACCCACAGCGACGATAGTGCACATTGATAAAAGTCCACACCGATAAAAGCCCATGTTGATAAAAGCCCGCATAGATATAAGCCCACAGTGATAAAAGTGCACATAATCAAAAGGGACTTATAGTTTTTTATTACTAAACCGTGTATTTATGATTTTAATTATAATAAATGGAGAGTATTCAGATCTGAATTTTAATGTCTCAAATATATGTCTGTATATTTTATCACTAATTTATCTGTTAAATTTATTAGGTTGAAAGCAAACTTTCTACTCTTTGATTAAGTGATTAGCTATAACGTTTCGATGATAAATATGAAATTGCATTTTATTATTTTTTACTTATTATATATAATTTATTTATTAAATAATATTGATTATATTATCTCCTAAGATTATTTATAGTAGAATTATCTGAAAAGAGTGAACCCACATTTAGTAAGTTCTATTTCAAAAGATGTTTTGAAGTAACTTGAATGTAAATTGTTAACAATGTTCAACGGGGACTTGAATTAAATCATGAATAACAAATTTCAATTGCAAAAAATAATTAAAAGCAAGTAAAAATTAAATGCAAGTAATCATTGCCATGATCGGAAATAGTGACTTTCAAGGGAACAACCAACTCCCGTCAATGAACAATAATAAGAAATAATACGAAGGTGTTTCGTCCTTTACGAGCAATAAAGGGGATGCCAAACCGGCAATTCAAGCTAGTCCAAAAATTTCCATGAATAGAAGTATTAAAGAACCAATGCAGAACCAAAAACTCAGTCCGATTAAGCATTTTACCTAATTCAATTTTAGTGAAAAGCAATTTTGCTGTAAAATTGAGCTCTCGAGTAACCGTCCCCCGACACCCTTGTGTTTATGCATTTAGTACAGTATTATTTTAAAAATTAAACATTGGAAATGTCATTATAAATAGAATTCAAGTAGTTGAAATAACATTAGAAATTAAAAAATAAGAAATACTGCAATCTTTGTAAAACTAATCAAAAAAAAAAAAAAATATTTGAAAATATATAAGAAAGTGAATGACACTGCTCAAAACAAAAAAAAAAATGGGACAGTGCTATCTCCCGTTTCTACTGGGCCGATTGCAAATTCAACTGCGTTTTTCATGTCCGAAAGCGCGACTTAGATATATATTAGATTTATATATACACTATTCTA